TCAGGTGCCTTCAGTAATTTAAAAATTAGATTTCTATTTTAGGTGATTTAGTTTTCCAGCTATTTGCAGTATTGACCACTTTGAAAGTTCAAATCACAATCATAATATCAAAATACTTCTCTGAGGGTATTTCTTAAACATTTCCTGAGCTCAAACCCATGGGTTTGTTAGTACAAACAGCCCTATATTTTGCTGGACTAAAATGTAGATGCTGGCATATTTCTATGCAGAGTTCCTCAGTCACCATAGGAGGACTTGTGATTGGCACAGAATTTCATTTCTTATGCATGTTTCCTTCAGAGTTCTCTTTCTCCCTCAAGTCCAGTAGCTTGCAACTTGTAGAACTATCAGAAAGCAATGTTGTATTAAGCCTTGGAAGGAAATCTATGTGCATTTGCACCACAGTAAAAAAGCTTTGCAAAAAACCATGAAGCAAATCTCTGAAGAAATAGAAAAATCCCTCATTCCCTACATCCAAAGGAAAGACAAAGATTTAGAGGGTTTCCAATGTAGTTTCAGCACTTACATAAGAAAAAGTTCATTAACACATTGGAGGAGAAATAAATAATATAGCAATTTGAACATCTTTTTAAATATGTTAAATTACTTTCTCAGTCCCAGATGGTCTCTTCAGGGAAATTAAGTGTTAGGGGGAAAGAGATTAATCTATTTAATCTATTTTACTAGAAATAATTACAGTAAATTAATATGTGCTGATTTTCAAAATCAGCTAAAACAATATCAATCAGATTATACAAAGAATTTTCTGTTCTGCGGTACCTACACCACATCATTTTGGCAGACAATCTGGGAAACAGAAGGAATTGAGGAGCTAAACTAATGAATACTATGTAGCAATATTTATAGGTAGACCTGACTATAAAGCAGGAAATCTGGTTCATTAAAAAAAGAACCAGCATATTGTGAAATTTGTTTTTGTTCTACATATGCTGAAAGATTTTTTCCTAAGATAAAACACTTAAGAAAGAAAAGGTTAGATTTCAGAACAGACTTAGATCTTTCACACCAGCATTAGTAGGTGTCTTTCTGAATCCCTAATTTGTCCAGCTGATGCTATAGTGATACAGTAGATGCATCAGAGAAAATTTTGGCATCAGCAATCTACTTCAATGGGTTGTGAAATCTGGATGGCCTAGAATATCTAAACTACTTGGAACTACACCTACAGCTTGTTTTGTTGCCTAAACAGGCACAAATATTCAAATACCAAGCTACAGTCTATAGAGTCGATCTGCCCTCTATCTTGGAATTTAAACCTGGATTTTGATGTTTGATATGAGATTTTTAACAGCTAGGAGATTGTCTTTTTCTAAAGTTGGTGCAAGGAATCTTTACTAGATGTTTGTGGGGTTTTTTGCTAAATGTTATTAAGATAGTAATCAGGAAAGAGAAGCAGTACTCTGCATCTTTAGGTCAGACCCACTGCTGCTCATCACTAAAGAATATGGTCATACTGTGTTCAAAACGTTTTTCAGTTTTGAGATCTAGAATATCTTGCTTGCTTCCTCCTAACATCCTTTCTTATGGGAGATGAATTTAAATATATGAATTTCAATTGTGTTAATATAATACCCAAAATAAAGTAGCTTGAGGGTTAGGCAATAAAGGGGAGCTGTCTTTCCAAGAGACCTAGACAGGCTGGAGGAACAGACCCATGACATTCAGCAAGAATTGAAGAAATGTTCTTCACCTGGGAAGGAAAAAACTCAAAATTATAATGTCTGGGAATGGGCTGAGTGGGGATGAGCTCTGCCTCAAAGAAGAACAATGTAAACATGATTCAGCAATGCAATCCAAATATATTGGGTTGTATTGAGGCCACTGATCACTGGGTGGTTGTGGTGCTGAAGCACTGTCCTGTGAGAGCACCTGAGGAAATGGGTCTTGTTCAGTTTGGAGAAGAGCTGACTTTCAGGGGACATGACAGCAGCTTCACAGCATCTGGGGGAGGGTCATCAAGAAGAGAGAACAGTGGCCTTTGAAGCTGTGTATGGTGGAAGGGTGAGTGACAACAGCATAAACTGAATCAGAAGAGATTCCATCTGGAGGTAAGAAGAAAGCTTTTCCTCTTGAGGACAGTCAAACAGTAATCCAAAGAGTCTGGAGAGATATTGAATACCTGACTGGATAAAGTTCTGAGCATCCTGGTCCAAACTCAATGTTGAGCAGAAGGCTGGATTAAATGACCTTCTGATCTCCACTCCAAATTGAATGATTAGCCTAGACCCCACTTTCCTGGATATCCTATTAGAATATAGAGTAATCTTTCTTTAAATATTTAAATAGGCAAAGTATTTTATTTGCTGAACATCCAATTTAGTTACTATTTATGTGCATATACATACATACATATATCTACATACAATACAGATGATGACAGATGTCCACTAAAACTCTGAAGTCAGTGAAGAAAAATGGGCAATTTTAGGTATAATTCAGTGTTTTCTGAAGTGGATATGCAAAGCAGACCTAATGAATCATGTCCTAGAATTTATTATTTCCTTCCATTCACATAAAGGGTATGTAAGGTTATTGTAAGGTTATTAGTTCAGCCATGGAAGTTTACATGCTGCACACCAGAAATGAGGTGCTATGAAACCTAGCCACTGTATCTAACTCATTTTCTCTAGGAAATCACACAAAAACTCCCAAACTATAAATAAAAAAAACTAAAAAAAAAAAAAAAAAAAAGCAGAGTTTTGAAGTTTTGAACAAGTGAAACACCAGTCCTGAGAACAGAAGAATACAGTTGAATAAAATAGAAACTTTTCTTAAACTTTCTCGTAAAGTAGATCAGAGTTTATATTTTGCATGTCAATTTAATTTTTTATATTAAAGGAAAGAAAAAGCTAAGTTTTTAAAAAAATTATAAACATAAATTTAATTCTGCCACTTTTCAACATGTGTATAAGAAATCAGGGAGAAATACCAGGCATTCTCCACCTAGGCTTTGCATCCAGTCTGTCCCATGCTTTTCTTAAAGTCAACATCTAGTAAAGTTGAATCTAATGAAAGGAAGATGATGTGTAGAAAATGCAGTCCTACTGTTCTACAGCATCGTACTGTTTACAGTACTTGCCAGGAACGAAAGAACTGTCATTTTATAGTATGCTCAATCTAAGCAGGTTTGATTTTATTGCTTACACTTCAGCTTACACTTTATTGCTTACACTAAGTACTTAATCACAGAATAAGCTGAGTTGGAAGGGACTCACAAGTATTGAGTCCAACTCCTGGCCCTGCACAGCACTGTCCCCAAGAGGCACACCATGTGCCTGGGAGTATTTTCCAAATGCTTCTTGAGCTCTGTCAGGCTGGTGCTGTGACCCCTGGGGAACTGTTCCAGTGCCCAACCACTCTCTGGGTGAAGAACCTTTCCTAATATCCAACTTAAACCTCCCCAACACAACTTCAGGCCATTCCCTCAGGTCCTATCACTTCTCACCAGAGAGAAAAGATCAGTGTCTTCCCCTCCTCTTCCCCTACTTGTGTTCTAGCATTTCTAGGTCACGCTCCTCACTAAACAATTTGTAGCTCAGCTACAAGGATGCAAAATCCATAATCTTTCTGAAAGGGACCAGGTGTCATAAACCAGGTTTCCACTGAAGAGAGGGGCATGCTTAAAAGAAAATGGCTGTAAAAAATATTGTTTCCTTCAACTCAGTCGTTTCCTTTAAGTGAGCTTTTTATAGCTTTTGTAAGTAGTTTATTACTGGATTAAAACAATAAAAGTAAACAAATACAGTTGCAGGAACAGTAATCAAAATAGGAAATGGCAAGAGCCATCTTTGCATTCTGATCGCTTCAAACTCTTCTTTTGTCCTGACTTCCATGTATCTTGTGTACTTAAATGTATAAACTTCAAGTATACTTTGCTTGTAAAAATGTTTCTCCAATGGCTTAGCGCTGAGAGAACTCTCCCGGCCTCAAAAGACCTCCATTTTAATTACTAGACTTTCATTCCTCTCAGGCCAAACCTCTCTTCTTGGGTAAATATATGATGTAACAAGTTCTTCAGTAATCTGTCACCAGCCTCATGTCTCTCCTACTGGCTCTTACAACCACATTCAAGATCATGGTGAAGACCACAAAACACTTTCATTTTAAATACATTTCTTTCTTTACAATTTAGAACATTTCTAGACTTGCTGTTGTATCTGTAGCCAAGCATCAAGGAAAACTTTGGACTATCCATAAAATCAAAGATTATTTGTGTGGGAAAATGTGTGATGGCATTTTAAGCAGAATTTGGGTTCTTCATCCTCATTTAAGACAGGATTTAAATAGCATAGTTGAACAGTTTATTGACCTTGTCATGCCCTCATGCCCTAGTTAAAACATAAATTAGTATTAACAAAAACATAAAGGTAGATACCCATGATGATTATTCAGTTTGAGCCAAGTTTGTTTCTGGACAGTTGTAGGTTTTTTGGTGTTTTTTTAAAATTATTATTTCTATTAGTGCTCCTCATTCTTGCTGTTTGTCGAGGTATAAAGGGGTTTTTTTAAGAAGTCTTTTGTGATTGTTTTGAGGAGAGATCAAAGTAAGAAAATACAAATTATCCATTACTGTGGTGTCAGAAGAAAGTAACAGAGATCCTCTTTGAACAGGTGTAAAGTGAAGAATCACATAGTTTGAAGGATGGTATTCAGTATAGAATAACTCTCAACAATTATCTACAAATGACCTTTTCCTGGCAGACACAGGTTTAAGTTTTGTTTTACTTTTCTTTTGTTAGTGCTGGTGGGCATTTTTTGTTGTAATGCAAGCATTTTCAAACTTCATAATGAAATATTCTACATATTTTTCATTAAGCACTTCAGAGCTACCTGCGTATTTATAGCATTTATAGACTACCTCCATATCCTTCCAATCAGACAAATTGCTATAACTTTTGCTTTGACCCTGAAATAGTTCACAAGAAGCCCTGTACTGGGCTGAAGAGTGAGTGTATTTTGGTATCTCCAAACCACAAACCTGAAGCAGAACGGACTTATTTATTAAGAGCGTTACATTCAAAACAAACATTAATTTAGATTATTTTTGGAAATCTAAGATTCATTAATCCTTAAATAGTAAAAAAATTTATTTCGTTTTTCTACTTACAAAAAAAAAGATTGTCTAGAAATCACATCAAATTTTTACAGAAAAACTTTTAGATCATCATTAAATGGGCTTTAAGGACAATCCTTCCCCCATAGAGTATCTTTACTGACAAAAAAAACCAAACCAATAAACCCAAACTATTATTTATGGAAATTGATAACAAGGATTTTCTTCAAAGGAATCTATTCTCGACCAGGGTGATGGAGTTCGTAACATTAAATTCTAGAGTTACATATAAAAATTCACTCCTACTTCTAATTTTTTTCTGTGCCATGTGACATCCTAACTTAAAATTTTAACAATTCTTCTCCCTTCACCCTAATTTTTCCCACTGGAACTGTCTAAAACACCAACCAGATTAGTGCTTGTGATTCCTCTTTTCCTGTTTTCTCTCTCATGTAGTACTATTTTTGTCTATTTAGCACAAGAAAGTTTTCTCATACCAATTAAGGGGGGTAAGGGGGGCTTTAGTTTTTTAGGTGCTTTTTTGGGTTGCTTGTTTTGTTTTGTGTTGTTTTTCTTCAGATTCCCAGGTGGTTTTCAGTTGGGTTGTAATAGGTCTGAAAAGATGAAGAGTAAACCAAAAATAGTAAGTTGAAAACAGACATTTATTTCTTGTCAAGATATGCTGTGCATAAATGATGCTTAAATAAGCATTATTTAACCTGTTTTTCTAACTCAGAAATCACATATTTTGCAAAAAAATAATGTAAATATTATAATTACCTTCTTCTGTACTTTAGTCATTAGTGACTCCCTGAACTTGGCCAATCTTTTCATTTTCATTTGCAGTGAGTACGTTTTTTTCCATCCTTTTCACACCAGACTTCCTGTGTTGCCATCCCTGGACTCCCCTTCTCTCTCTTGACTCTTCTTACTGCAAAAACAAAGCACAGCAACACACACAGCTACATGAAGCAGATGCAGTGTTCACCCATGAACAAAATGGTTCAAAAATAAATGTAATATATTTCGTTTAATCAAAGAAAGTCATTACTTTGGAGATGTTTTCATTCCATCCAATCTGAATTGCTCTCATAAGCTTATCTCAGCCATTGTTACCTAAAATTAGGAGAAGCTATGGTAGTCTACGGCTAACACATTGAAAAAAATCACAGATAAAACCATCTGTTTTGCTGAAAATTGATACAGTGCTTCTCTTATTGTTAGCACTTCATTTTCAAAGAGAAAACTTCTGCTCATTCAGAGCTTAGTTGGGATGGACTCCATGGGAAGCTTCCACGGAGAATAAAGGAGCTATCAAGTGCTGGGGTTTTGTAAAAAACACTCTCCTGGAAACACAAAAACAGTTTCACTCTAAAGGGAAAGGAAGCAGGTGGAGAAAGAAGCCCCCTTGTCCTGGCTCTGATCTGTTAAGTGCTGAGACTGCTCAAAACAGAAACAGAGCCAACCAGAGATGGAAAAGAGGATGAACTGAGATCTACAAGGGTGTTGCCAGCATGTTGAAAGATGGAGCTAGAAAATCAAGAGCATGGACTAAACTGAAGTTGGCCAGTGGTCATTGTGCTGCTGTGTCACTGCTGTGGCAAGGAGAGCCAACAAGAATGTCTGGTCAACAGAGCCATTGCCAGCAGAGCTACAGAAGTCATTATCCAACTCCATTCAGTGCTTGTCAAGGCCACACCTGAAATACTGTGTTCAGTTTTGGTCCTCATCACATAAAAAAAGACATGGACAGGCTGAAGAGGATCAAGAAAAGGGCCACGAAATATTCAAAGGACCAGGGAGCCTGACACATGAGGAAGGGCTGGGAGTACTGGGGTTTTTCAGCCACGAGAAGAGAATGCTTAGGAGTGGCAACAGAGAAGAGGGAGACTCCTTTTTAAAAACAAGTCATATAGAAAAGATTAGGTGTAAGATTCCACTTGGACACAAGAGGGAAATTTTTCACCATGAGAATAATTAGCCTTTGGAATAATTTCCAGAGGAAACTGGTGGATTCTCCAACATAGGCCACTTTTAAGACATAACCTGATGCTTCTTCCTCTCTCAGCCCTTAAACTATTAGGCTAGCCCAGAGATACGAGGCCTTGAGGGGAGGAACATCAGGAGATGGGCAAAGATTCAAAAGAGGCTCTCACCCCGATGTGGTTGTCCAGCTTCTTTATTCCATGAGATCTGGGGGGAAAGAGAGAGGGAAAGAGAGCGAACAGGAAGGGGCAAGGGCTTATCTAGGCTCTGGAAAGGGAGGGCTCTTCTGGCTCTCTGCCAACCCCGTCAGGGCAGGAAGGAGGAGAACACTTTTATCTGATCAGAGTCACAGGGGTCCCTGGAAATGGGGAAAAGCGTAGCCTGAGTGCACTGTAACACTAACCGGACAGGGTTCAGGGCCGTCTTATTTGGATTCCTTTTACCAGGAAAGGTTCAACCAGATGATGCTTGAGGCCCCTTCCATCCAAGTATTCTTCCTTGGATTCTATGATTTATTATCTTCTTACACTCACAGGCAGGGCTTACAGTCAGTCTCAAAAAAAAAAAAAAAAAAAAAAAAAAAGAAGACCCCCGAACAAAAAAACACAGCTATTTTTGTTAACCTCTGTACTCTTCCAATCATTTTTACTGCAGGATCTGAAGCTTGCACTGACTCATCCTTTTCTTTCAGTTTCTAAAACTCAGCCATGGCAAGGGTTTCCAAACAAAGCTACTTAGATGAGTATTGCTAGCTGCCTTAAAACAGCCCCAAATAAAGCAGCTGAAAAAGCTGTGGTGATAAACTATGCAAATTATACCTTACTTCTAGAGGAAAAATGCAGAAAATGAGAGCTAAATCCTTTCCCCCCACTCTTCACCTACCAAGCATACAAAGAAGGAACAAGATGCTTAACAACAATACCCATTTCATGGAGTGAAATTTTGTTCTCACTCCCACCTATTGGGTAATTTTGAGAAAGGGGGAAAATTGGAAGGATTATCCAGTTCACAGAGCAGTATATTCAACAAAAGAAATACCAAAAGATACATTTGATGGTAACAGATCACACTGTAAAACTTGCAATATACCACTACTCAGTAATTTTTGACCTAAAGCATCATTAATCATTCATGAGCTTGTGCACTGCTGAAGGGAATAATGCAGTCTATAATCTTAAGGAAGTTCAAGGGAAAAAATCCTTTTCTCTTATTGAAATAAATCAAAATGTGTTTAACTCATAAGTTGCTTGTGTCCTGCAGCTCTTTTCCAACGGGACAGACAATGAATATTGGAACAGAGCACCAGCTATTAGATTACAGAGACTCCTTTACATAGTTTCAAACTCAGCTATTGACCTATGCCACATCAGACACACAACTTTATCACAGCTTGTTTTCTCTAGGAGTAAAATAAGAATAATAATGGTGGGGTTTTTTTTCACTGCTGTATTTATAGGGTTTATTTAAAACACTACTCAGACCTGTAGTCCTAGATCCTGTGTACCACAGATCCTTTATTTTCAACCTGTTATTTTTTGTTCTGAGCCCCATACTTTGTTTTTTGACTAACAAGCCTTTTTCATAAATGTCTTAAGCTGGAGACACTAGGAAGTGAAAAACCTACCTTTTATATTAATGATTTGCTCCAGTGGCTCTAAACATTCTCATATGGTATCTAAGCATATCTGTTTTCAGCAATTAGCCATCATCTGTCTTTTTTCATACAGCTACCTGTCCATGAGTAGTTATCAGCAGCTTCTGCCTAATTTTGCACTTATGATCAGAGCTGTAGGAGAGCTGAGGCACTCCTTTGTCCATTCATGTACCCAGTGTAACACTCAAATGAACTTAGATGTATGAGGCTTTGGGGTCCCATCTGTACACTCAGCTGGTCTTCTGGCCAGGAGTAGCATGAAAAGTATTGAATTCTCTACCTGCTCCAAGTAGAGTCTTGTCTGTGTTTCTCCTGGAGCTATGCCTGGCTAATGCTAACCTAAATTAGGCCATGCTTGGAAGAGCGATCTTTGTCCTGAGACAAAGCCATAACAGGGACCATGTTAACAATAATTCATTGCAAAGTGCTGCAGGCCAGTCAGCAAAACCAAACCTGCTCCTGCTCAGCTTGTTGCTCCACATATAGACTTCATTTCTATGAAAAACATTTTTAAGTGCTTGCATGAATAGTGGCCAGTGTACTGAGCTTTATCATCTCCTTCATGTTCAAGTCTCAACCATGACTGACAGCATTGCTGAAAATATGTGTAAACCCTCCCAGTTGGTCACCCTAACACAGAAAACAGTTGTGTACATGCACTGTGGTGTTTAATCATGAAAGGCTTACCTGGAGAGCAGAATTGTTGCAGTTTGTTTTTATTTTATTGAGCTTATTAAGTTGGCTGTTAAATAGTATGGTTTGCTATCCTCCATGTTTTCCCCAAGTTGGTTTCTCCCTAAGTTTCATCCTTCCTTCCAGCTGTGCCTCAAGGTGTCCCCTCCCCTTGTTCCAGACCCTTCCCTGCCTGTCAAGGCAATCCCGCCCCTTGTTCTGGAACATTCTCTGTCATCCATCACCTGAACCAATCCTTAACTGAGTTCTCTCTCCTCCCCCTCTCATGATTGGTTGTTACCCTGAAACCCCACCTCAAGTGTTACCCCATTGGCTGTTCTGTTGTAGCCACCCATTGTTTTGTGATGTCTTATAAACCCTTGCATTGAGATGCTTGGGCCTCTCTCTGTGTCTTGGCTTCTTTGACTTTGGTAAACTGATTTGAACTTTTTGGCTGGAGAGTCTTCTCTTGCTTCTTTACCCTGTCCCTGCCTTGCCACACTGGAGCACAGCTTCTCAGGTTAGAGCTGCAATAGTGGCAAGATTCTGCCTGTGGCTTTATCCCAGCCAGGGCAATTCCCCACTCATCACTGCTCTGGAACATCAGAGAGCTAGCCTGGGCTTTGGTAGGCAGTGGCACAGAATTATCTTTGTGAGTACTGAATATAGTTTGTATGCAAACAGAAATTTGCTTCATATTATATTATTTTTTAAAAGCGTATTTTCTATTTATCTGACATCTATGCACATATTTACACATGCAAAAGGACAAATGTTACTTGTATCTCAGGGATGTGGACATCGTGGACTTAGGGTACTACTATAGGGAGTGATTGGATGCTGTATACTCTAATAAGAGATGAAAACAGCCCTTTTGAAAATTTCTGGAAGATGAAATAATATCTGCAGGAACACTTTAAATCAGTCTGCAAATGTTTCTCAGAGATCCTTGAAACAATATCATATGTGCCAAATATTCCAATCATAAATAAAAATCTGGTTTATGCTAGCTAGGTGTTAAATAAACCCAGACACCTGTTTGCCATTTATGAAAGTGTTCTCCTGTTGCGATGTTATCTATCTGTAGTATATGCCGCCTTGCAGTTATGCTACTTAGAAAAATTCCACTTCAGGGTTTACAAAATATTCCTGTTAGGTGCATCTCATGCTTTTTTTTTTTGTTTTTTTTTTTTTTTTTTTTGGTTTTCTTTTTGTTTTTCATCCAGGCTCCGGAGCATTTCTTTTTATGTTGAAAAATTATCTCCAAGCTAATTTATATCAAGTTTGTGGTAAATACTAGTTAGAAGAAAATGGTGTAAAACCTTCTCAGGCCCTGTTCCCATGAGTTTATATCCAAATTCCTTTACCTAAAGCTTCAGGAGAAATGGAGAGGGGTAGAAAGGAGTGTTTATATACTATTTTTGGATCCAATAGAATTTTTTTTTTGCTCATATTATCCTATACTTTGCTATGTTTTATATTTGTGATTAAAATAGAGATTAAATGGAGGAAGGTGATGGAGACCAGAGTAGCCTGGTGGTAGCATGGTATGCATGGGAATGACAAAGGTCTAGGATAGTGTCTGTGGTAGGGAGAAATTGCCTTGATTGAATTTTGTTCCCTGGGAGCAGTCTGGTGGGGAAATGGCACCCAGTGGTGATGATCTGCTTAGAGGCACCAGCAGTCACAGCAGCAGAGGCAGGTGACACAGTGACATGAGTGACTAGGTTTGCCATGGCTTGGAGGTAATTTAGAGTTGTCTGTGTGTCACTGGAGCCTCAGGTGAGGTGGAAAGCTAGGAAAGATATGTTGAAAGGTGAGGAAACACCTCAAGATGCAAACTAAAGGTTGTTATTGTAAAAGATAAATATTTGAGAAGCTAGCATATATTGTCATTGCACTATTTGACTGCATTTAGGTCTCTTACTGCCCATAAATATATTTCTTTTTAAGAGATGTTTGGCAAAATTAGACCACTAGATTTTAAAGCATGTAGTTGAGATCAGTTCAAGCCCTTTATTTTCTCAACTGGCCATTCAAAGACTTGAGGCGCATCTACTTCTTGAGAATGAATTGTATAAGCTTAAAAGAGATGGTGTTTTTTAAAGAATGCCCTGAATGACACGTTGGATGGAAACACTGACCAAGATCCTGCGCAGAAGCAACAAAATGAGTCTAGTAATCTGCTTAACCACTTTTACTGCTCTATGCATACATCTGTGTCAAAATAAAATTACCCTGTACTTTACTACAGTCCATCCAGAGAGAAAAAAACAGTTCTCTGAGAGGGATAACCAAGTGAAAATGTTTTCTCTTAGGGATAGTGTTGCACTTCTAAAAAAAAAAAATAGAAAAGCAAAATCAGATAATTTTTGTTTTTCAGAAGACATCAATGTTTGCAGACTTTGTCATCCTTTTTCCTAATTGTTCTCTTAACTCTAGTCTTTTGAGGAGGATAATTTGCATGTACCATTTTGATGGTTCAAAAGTATGTAGTTGTTATGTGAAATATCAAGGTACAGTCAAAATCATGCTATCTCATGTAAGTACTGCACAGCCATAATAAACCACAACGAAGCCATAGTTTCTAGGTGTATGCATCTACGCAATATCTAATTCTTCTCACTAATTACTTATGGCAAAACTGAAATCTGCTTGTCATATTTCAACAGGCAGTAAATGTGACTAGATAGGCCTACTAAGTTACAAAGTGACAATACTACGCTTTAACTGATTAATGATGTACTATTTGAGATAAATCTATTGCTATACATGGTAAATGTTCTTGTATGTTTCATTATTCCAAACAGTGTTGCCATCATGCAACACAACTGAGAAATGCGTGTTTTCACAATCAATTATATCCACAACAGAATAGAACTTCAATGTAATAAATAAGAAGAATTAAAATCTCAGTGATCCAAAGAGGATTATCAGTGTAATAACACTCAATAATTTCAATGCTGGAAAGTTATCTGTATTCCTGGAGTCCTGCAATGAAGCATTGATAAGTGCCTGCATTTTTTGCCTGATGAGTGGAGAGCTAGACATCTGAAACAGGAATTCAGAGTAGTTATAATAAGTTACGGTAGGTAGTCATTAGGAACTACTGAAGAAAGCAGTATGAGGCATTCTAAAATTGGTTCCAACTAGTCCCTGGTTGAGCACCTGTGAGAAAGTGGGACAGAATGTGAATTTGTACCAGCAGGTTCACACATTAAAAGGTACAGCTAAAGGAAGAGTCTGTGGGGGTTTCTTTGTCTAAAAGCAGCAAGAGTTAAGCATTGCACCTCCCTTTCCTCACCCCTCCCACAGCTGCATTTTCTGCTGTTTACTTGAGTGTTAAAGTTCAGTGAGGTGGTTCTAGAGATAATTCTTCAGTGTTGTTAGAAGGCATCACCTGCTTTCTATTTAAAACTGTTTTCTACTAGATTCCACTACTTTAAAAATTGAACACAGAAATATTCAGATCTCATACTCATGCTGTGTTTCTTAATGAGGTGAATATTCCCATTGAAACACAGTTAATAAAAGGTTCCTTTTATGAGCATGGATTTGCAGCATCTGGCTTTAAAATTTGCAGTTATTTATATTTGCTATGATAATTATGTTTAAAGTCTTCATAAGAGTCAATGACCTGTAATAAAGAGCCGTTATCTGTTAAAACAAAAGGAAATTTAATTTTCATGTTTAACTTTTAAAAGTTATGGAGATTTCAGACTAGCCTTGGAGGGACAAAACTGGAAAGATATGTTATGAAGATTTTGTAAAGTGGACTGGAGTAAGGAAACAGTACAGAGGAAATAACACTGAGGATAGACTGTGTGATCTAATTTTTCTTTTTTATCTTTCATAGGTTATTTCTTGGGTCAATGCCAAATGCAAAACACTATCACAATATTGTATCAAAACTGTAGTATGTGTACAGCTCTGGAGTCTATAACATAAGAAAGACACAGACCTGCTAAAATATATCCAGAGGAGGCCATGAAGATGATCAGATGGCTGGAACACCTATCCCATGGAGACAGGCTGAGGAAGTTTGGGTTGTTCAGTCTGGAAAAAAGAAAACTCCAGGGTGACTGTAGAGCACCTTCCAGTACCCAAAGGGGGCCTGGAAGAGAATTGGAGAGGAACTTTTTACAATGGTGTGGAGTGATAGAACAAAGGGGAAAAGGGCTTTAACTTGAAAAAGGAGAGATTTAGATTAAATTCTAGGAAGAAAATATCTGCTATCAGGCTGGCAAGACACTGCTTCAGGTTGCCCTGAAAAACTGTGGCACTACTCCTCCACCATGGATAGGGTCAAACACTGTGTATGGAAGAAGAGAGGAGAAATATAACTCATAGTTCTTGATATTTGTACCAACTTTTTTGTCCTTTCTCCCTGCTCCTAGCTCCCTCAGACTCCTGCTACCCACTCTCTAACTCGAAGCTGTGACCACTGTTCAATTTCACACGTAGTTCTCAGCCTGAGACTAACACTTTCTGGCTGAGAATCAAGTCAGTACATTTTTGCTAAGGATATAAAATGAAATAACAGTTCTACCCCTTTGGATGGCAGCATCTCAGCTAATTGTAATCACTGCTTTCATTACCCACAAAACGTTCTTCTTTCCAGAAAAAAAAAATCTAGTTTTGTATAAAGATCTTCTGTGTACAGTTTAAATCTTTGGTAGCATTTAAAAAAATCCACAGAACAAAAAATGCTCAAACTTTTGAGTCCTTTTTTCAGACTCTTCAAAACTTCTCTAAAGTTTTTCAGTAGCTTATTTATTCCCTAAGTAGTTGTTCTTCAGCATGTTTTCACACTCCTTTGTGTTCCTGGGAAAAAAAAAAAAAAATCACTTCTGTGTTTTATAGTGCTGTAATAACCAGTTCTGTTAAGAGGTAGAACAGTGAAAATTCTGTGTCTAATCTACTCTATTCAAATATGAATAATGTCAAGGTGAGGAATGTTCCATTTAATAATCTTGCTAGCCAAATCTCTTTCCCAGTGCTGCCATCGCTTTATACTCTCATAAACACAGTTTAAATAAAACAAATGCAGTGCTCCAATTTCTCTTCTAAGGTGAACAAACACACTTACTGTGTTCCAGCTGATATTCCTGCCTTGGTTATAGAACAACTGCCATCTTTTCATTGAGAAGTGTCTCACTAATTAAAAATGAA